AGTTTAGAGTTTAGATTTAGTAGCCGCACTTTATGTTTCTATGTGAGTTAAAATGAGCCAATAGAGCACAAACGACAAACCTAATAAGCTGGAAAGGAAATAATACGCATCTTACAGCAAAACATAAAGTCATCAGTTATTTAAAATTTTTCTTGAGAGTATTTGTTGGCGCCAATATGTAGCTTATGTAGCATATGTAAATAGAGAGAAAACATTTTTTGATCGGCCTGGGTCAAAAATAACAAAAAGCAAATAATTTAAAAATAATTTTTCCGCTTTAATTGTCCAATGGTTACTAATTAGGCAATTTCAAGAATATTTTGGTTTCATACCTAATCTGTGAAACTCCTTATTACACCCCAAAATGATGCTAATATAAAGTGCGTTGGGGGGTTTGGAAAAAAGCCGAAAATCTGTCCCCTCCTCGAAAAAATCTTGATCCGCCCCTGAGAAATTAACCACCCCTGAGATCCGCCCTTTGCTATTTTCAATCGATCATAATAAGTTTAAACTTAGGTTAGTTATTTTGTGGTCTCGCTCAGTTTGAATTTTTTCGTCATTTTAACTGCGTTTTGTAATAAATTACATACGTAACTTTTTTATACTTGTATTTGAAATTTTTTTGCATACCCCACTGACATTTGCCGCGAATAAGTACGTCAAAACTTAGTTGTTTCGTAAAAAAGAAATGATAGATTAGTTGTAAGATACTCATTTCCAATTTAATATTTGTTAGGCAATCTTGACCAAGAGAATATAGAGTTGTAGAACAGAATAAATAAACATCTAACAAACAATGTAGCAAAACAACAGAGTGTCCACGCACAGCGTGGTACTCAGTATAGGCCAAAGCAGTGACCTTGAATAGAACATGTAATGAAATCTGTAGCATAACTGCGAAAGACCAGTTATAAGCGAGGTACCGAAGGTCGCCTCATGACATTCCCCGCGGAAGGGAAAAATTTTGAAGATAATTCAAACTTTTTGTATAAGAAGTAAACTGCACCCAGATGAGCATTAGATAGATAGCACCCCTATCCCTCACAAATGCAAGGTGGTAAAGAATATAGAGCATAGAAAGTTTGATAAAGTTTTTAGTAGTTTGACATGTAAACATTAGTCAATCGCCATCTTGAGTTTGTTGACCAATGAAGAAGAGGACGCCTCCAACAAGGCCAGTTGGTTTCGGTCGCGAATTTAGCGGTTTTCTTCGTGAATGCGGGGACGGTAAGGCGTTTCCTGAGGGTAAATCGTGAACCTCCTCCTCCAACATTTTTTCTTCTTCCACTAATTTCACGGAGTGCCGTAGAGGATCACCAAAGAATTGCGTAGCCTTCTTGCTACGTAATGAGGTCCTTATAACCTCCGAATCGTCCACTACTGGCTGAGCGGGGAGAGAAAGGGAAGGATACGAAGAGTGCGTTTCTGGAAGCACGTGTTGTGAGGGTGGAACGAAGCCCTCCGGAGAAACACCATCTGGCGACAAAAACTCAGTCCGTGGATTCGTTAAACCAGAATTAGTAGACTGTGTGGCAGGCGGCGAAGGGACAACAGTATCCATGGTAGCCTGCTGGGGAGTAAGAGTCATATTAGCAAACGTAACAGGCGGCACATCCTCCTGTAGTTTTGGCCGTTTCTGCACTGGGGTAAATTCCCTAACCTCTTGGAGAAAAGTGGACCCAGAAGAGCCCTCGCTAGAAGAATCAACTGTGAGATCCACCACCATGGGATGTGATACACTAGGGTCGTCCGGGCGTTTCTCCAACAGCGTTGGTTGAGAGCGAGTAGCTGGCCTTTTGCCCACATTGCTTGAAATCGATCTTGATGCTTGAAGGCGATCACCTAGCTTTTCCTTTGTCAGTAACATAAGTGTGATCGGTAATCTGAGTAATCTTGAATTTAGCAGGCTTATAAAGAGGTTTGCCGGAATACCCAACAGGTCAGTCCTGTCTTCATTCACAGGAACTGCTGGCTGCGCCATGACATTTGCCGAGAAAGAGTACGTCAAAACTTAGTTGTTTCGTAAAAGTGAATTGATAGATTAGTTGTTAGATATTTAGTTCCAATTTAATATTTGTTGGTCAATCTTTGACCAAGAGAATATAGAGTTGTAGAACAGAATCAAAAACATCTAACAAACAATGTAGCAAAACAACAGAGCGACCACGCACAGCGTGGCACTCAGTATAGGCCAAACCAGTGACCTTGAATAGAACTGGTAATGAATCAGTAGCATAACTGCGAAAAGACAAGTTATAAGCGAGGTACCGAAGGTCGCCTCATGACACCCACAATCTACCCAAAGTTACCTAATCCAATGGGCGGCGGGGTGGTTTTGTGGCCTCAAATTTGCCACAATAATGGATTATATAGACAACCTTTCAGTCACCAATACCGATGAAAAACTGAAAATTAAGTCGAGGCTTTTTACGTGATTGTTTGGTTTTTGTTGATATTATATGTTGTTTTTGTCTTTTTCCGACATATGAGGATGTGGTTTACAGCTCCCACCTTATGATATGCAACGAACTTACTTACGTAAGGACTCAACGCAATTTGTAGGAAGCCAAATTGTAGGAAGCCTTTTTCTGCATTCACTTTGTAAAAGTATCATAAATTACGATCTTCTTGTGAAGTTACCCCGAGTTTGTTTCAGAGCATGACGCTGGACATCTACTTGCGGGCCTACTGGAACGACACTCGTCTGCAGTCTGCAGCTGACTACCTTTTCAACAGAAGTAGTGACAACCCAAATGTGAAACCCCCCAGTTATGTCAACTTGAAGGGGGTGTATGCAGATGCAATTTGGAGACCCAACATATACTTTCTGGATTCCATGTTGGAAAACACACCCGGTAGAAATAGCTTATGACAAATTATCAAAGGGGGGAGGAACAGCTCTGCGGTAGGGCGGTAGGGTGGTAGGTTGGTCGAAAGAAGCGGTAGTTGTTAGATCAAACTTTTAATAAACTAGAACATAGTTTGGTAAAAAATATTTTAGTTTGTAATTAATTATTACTGTAATTTTTGTTATTACTAAAAATGGAGCAGAACTTTGTTCTCGGCCCGGGTCGAGATCCCGCTTAAAAACCGCTCAAGATTTGAGCGGTTTGAGCGGTTTTCCAGCAAGATTTGAGCGGTTTGAGCGGTTTGGGCGGTTTAAGCGGTTTTTTTGGATAAACCGCTCAAACCGCTCAAATCTTGCTTAGAAAACCGTTCAAAAACCGTGGTGAAAAAATCGACAATTGTGAACAAATTTGTTCTTCATACTTTACAGCGTAACATCACGCATTTAGCCGTAATAACACATCAAACAAACATAAAACTCGGTGCTTTGAAAGGGGGGGGGGAAACTGGAAAAGAGCCCAAACTTTTAATGTTTGGATCAATGAGTTGACAAAAAACCAATTTCTACCTCCCACAAGCCCCCCCCCCCCTCCCCATACCAGCATCATCGAAGTCGGCTCTTTTTCCTCCCCCCCCCACCTGCAAATTTTTACATGTAAATTTGTTGACTACATTGTTGAATACATTGACTACTCGTAAAACCACTCGTTACACTAATATATTGAAGGTCGTGTGAGGTGGGGGGGGGAAGGAAAAAGAGCCTCGAAGTCTTTTAGAGATGCCAATAATAACGTCAAATGTTTTGCGCTTCAAAATGTTAGTCTATATTTCAGATGTTAGTCTACTGTTTCAGGGCAGCATGGCCTAACGGATAAGGCGTCTCACTTCGAATCAGAAGATTGGGGGTTCGAATCCCTCTGTGGTCGAATTTTTATTGTTAAATCTTGCGCGGTTTTTTAGCGGTTTTTTTAGATAAACCGCTCAAAACCGTTCAAATCTTGCGCGGTTTTTGAGCGGTTTTTTTAGATAAACCGTTCAAAAACCGCTCAAACCGCTCATTTTGAAGCAAGATTTTGAGCGTAATTGTCTAAAAAACCGCTCAAACCGCTCAAATCTTGCTTCACATTAGGTGAAAAATCTCGACTCGGGGGTGTTTTGAGTGTTATATTATTTTTTTCCTCATTTTGAGTGTTTTTTTTTCAAACTATTTCTGCACAAAGTCAAGTACCAAGGAACAACAATTAGTCATCAAAATGACAGAGTGATATATCATACTTGTAGTACTGCGGTTGCAGTAACCTTGAGATAAAACATAGTCCTTACTACTGCAGTTGCAGTTATGGGTATTATTGACGTTATGTAATTATGATATTGATATTGTTATCTATTCATAGCCAAGGTCAGAGGTACAGTTTTAGATGTTGACTATTGTTCATTTCAGTTCGCCATACTCATGTATGGAATTAAGCCAGTCGATCTGACCTAACAAAAAAAGAAACAATTTGAAGAGATAAATTTTGGAATTCAAACAATTGTAGCTAACTGTTTTTATATCTAAAGTTATTAGCCGTTCTCCGGGTTATTGCAGCCAGTAGGATTTTTGTCGAAAGACGAAAGAGCCGACATGGGAATTCCTGTCTTCTGTACTACAGCTAATTCAGATCCCCCAGGAAGTTTCAAGATATAGTTTGATCAGTTTCTAATGGCAGTAACGGTGAAAGAGAATGTAAATCCGGAATTTTTTTTGGAAGCTTCGAAAACGGTTATAGAGGAACCTGAGCCGAGACCGGAAACACCCCGAACGGGAGAAAATGCCGCTGCAATAGCAGCCGGTGAAACAAGAGATAGATTAGCAAAGGACCATAGTGCATTAGAAATTGAAGAAAAAAGAGAGTGAGGACCAAAATTGGGTCATAACATTTTTTACAACGAAGTACAAAACGTCTGATTTTGAGGTTATATCTCGCTTTAGGAGCAGAAAGAAAAAAAACAATTTGTACAGAAAAAAATGCCTGAAGAAATCTCTAAGTTGGAGTTCAAAAAATATGAAGTCTTAGTCAAAGCTACACTTGAAAAGTCCCAGATTATTACGGGCGAAAGATCCAAACTCTTCAACAGATCGCAACAGCTGGGAGAGACTCTAGAGGCGTTACAAGCCGCATTAACTGCATAGGAAGCCAAATCAGCGTTGGGTACTTTAGAAGATGAATTGGTACGAGATCTAAATATATCGAAAATGAGAAGCGCTGCACTTCAAGACACGCTCACCTGTGAAGCACTATCTCCAGACTAGGTACTAAAAGGGGCTTTAAAGTTCGAACAAAGGAAGCAAACAACACAGGCATTTCAGAAATCGAGCGCCAATGCTGCAGAATTTATTGTCACTTAAAAGGACAGAGTTTGTCCAAGCAGACTTAAACCTGTCGGCACAGTTCGTGGACTACAATAAACATCCAATTATGATACTTGGAACAATAAACACGGACATACGATCTACAGAATGGGAAGTTCATTCTTAATAACAGAACGACGCACACGATGCAATTTGGGTCTAGATCTTCAGAACAGAGTGGGGATAAAAACTACACAAAAACCAGCACCCCCCCTTTCCAAAAGTCAAGGTTTGACTTGCTACTCTGCGAGCAGTCGGAAGGTGGGAAACAAAAATTTTATTCAAAATATAAGGATCTTTTTGACCGTCAAGGACGTTCCATAAAGCATGTAGTGAGCAGAAAAAAGCGATCGAAAACTTTTGACAGAAGGCAATATTCAGCGTTTGGATAAGTGTAGAAGTGATTGCTATAGGCCCCATTTTCATTACGGTTTAAAAGACGGCTCTATTAAGTAGGCCCTAGATGCAAAACCAATAAATAGACGATTATTCAAAAATAAGTATCAAATGCCGAATGTGGATGAATTTTTGGACGTTTTAACCAAATTGTGACTGCAAAAGCTAGGTACACTAGATACGATAAGAAAGCTAAGGATGAAAAACACTCGAAAAAACATCTTCCATGGCTCACGCAGCCGGAACAAGAAGTCCAAATGGACTACGCCGGTCCTGTAGAAGATCATAAAGGAAAAAAAATTATCTGCTAGTAGCAATCGACCGATACACTAAATTTTCATCAGTCAAAGTTGCAAATCCGACCGGGGTGAAATTTTGATAAAATTTTTACGCACACACATAGACACTCATGGAATACCCGAATCATTGAAAACAAACCAACTTCGAACAATTAAAAGAAGACTCGGCGTCATGTTTTTGGAAGACATTGTAGCGTCAGTTAAGCTCTACCTAAGTACGATAATTAAGGACATGAGATGGGCTAAACGAAAAACTAATCAACAATCACCATTCGAAACCTATTTTGGTCGACTTCGAAAAACTGAATTTAAAATGATAAGGGTCAAGTTTTTTCTAATTGTAAACAGCCTTTGGTATGTCAGCGTTCACAGCCAGCCAAATAAAAAGACGATTTGACCAATCTCGAGATAGCCTGAAAAGTGTGCGAAAAGGCCAGAATAACAGAGAAGTCAGCCAGCTGTTCAAGCAGCAGCTCTCATCAGCACGCGAAAAAAACAGGGCGATGACACTTAAGGCTTTACTGGAGGCTAACGCAAAATGGAACGCTGTTAGACAAGAATAGGCGAAAAACGATAATACACGGATTGTTGAGGATACAAGGACTATCAATCCAGATCTCAGAAAAGAGTTACTGTACTCCTGGGAGAGGGGCTTTGAGGAGGACAAACTTAAGTCATCACAAAAAGACCTAACTACGAACCTTTTACGTAAAATTGAGGACAGAAAAAGTGGAGCAGCGTTGACGAATCCACTGAAAAACCCAGTGGTGTCAGAGACATCTACAACTGTCACAACAGCTGCGTGCTCGATTTACCGTGAGAGAGAGACAAAGCGAGATCGAAGATGCCACTCATCGGGTTGCCAAATTCTGGGTTAAAAGGGGGTCAGAAGGACAAAGTGAAAAGTCCTCTCGAAGAGCCCAAACGGAGAAACCAGCTATAGGAGATTGAACGATCTCTAGAAAACGAATTAGAAGAAGAATCACGGAAACAGCAACAAGAAGAGCAGGCGAAGGAGCTCTTGCAGAATAGCAACAAAATTATGACATCAAAAAACACAGCAGTAAGAGAGGATCTTAATTTAGCGGCCAAACGGGCGAAACCCAATCACGGTGGTCCAGCGTCAATAGAACCAAATTCTCAGGAGGTAGTAGCTATTAATCAAAAACCAAAGCAACAAACCGCACAAGACAAAAAGCAAACTAAAACAGCCTCTACGACAACTAGTACAGATCCGGCTAATTCAACAGAGAGCTGCGGACGCAAGAGGATGAAAAGCCAAGCAATAGCTCCACAGCCAAAAAGGTAATCAGCACTATAATTGAGAAGATAGATAGAGACACATATTCCCTACCACGATCCTCAAAACTTTTCAACAGCAAGATTTGGCTCCGGAAGATTGGGAACAATCAGCGGACCAGGTGTTAACGAGAGGAATTCAAAAGACGGCGGAAGAAATATTGAACGCCAAAGAAGAATCGGAATATCATACCGCGGGGGACTCATGACTCCACCAGGATTCTCCGACGAGTCTAGTGTAGAAGATCAGACAGGATCCTAAGTGCGCCGAAGCAAGAGAGCCAATATAAACCAGGGACTCAAGCGACGAGGCAGCCCAATAAAGCACTCAGTGATAGAAATCATTTGTTTCGTCTGAAGTTTGGGTATGCAGCACTTGACACTTCCAGGACCTGGGATGCAAAGTGGAAAGTGCTAATAAACTTGAGTCGCTGAAGCTAAAAGCTCATGGAGTGCACCTATCTATCAAACTGAGTTTTAAAACTCTCTACATGTTTTTTTATATTACTAAATTTTTATATTTATGTGATAAATGTTTTTTTTATTCCTCAGGGGAATGTAGTACTGCAGTTGCAGTAACCTTGAGATAAAACATAGTCGCTACAACTGCAGTTGCGGTTATGTTTATTATTTGCGCTATGTAATTATGTTATTGATATTTTAGCCAAGGGTGACAGGTGCAGATTTAGGTGTTGATTATAGTTCATTTTAGTTCGCCATACTCATGTATCGAATTAAATCAGTCGATCTGAGCTAACAACAAAAGAAACAAATTAAGCAGCTAAATTTTGGAATTCAAACGATAGAACTTTACTGTTTGAAGATTAAACTTTAAAACTTTGCTTTTAGTCTCATTTTGAGCGAGTAAAGGGCGTGTGTCGGTGTCAGTTGTTACAGAAATTTAAAATCATAAAGTTTATTCATGTACAACCTTAGCGTTACTTCGATATAGTCGTCGCTTTTTTGCTTTTTTTCTTCTAATTCAATCAACCATTCTATGAAAACATTAATATGAAATTTAGATCACTAAAATTCGGGAAATTTCATTTTGATTTCTTTAATGTTGAGTTTCTCTTTTCTGAAATGAAATTCGTTGGATCTCTATACTTAGACAGCAACTGTTTATCTTTCTGTAGGTTATTTTTGTGATTAGCATGAATTTTTGTAGATTGCATGATTAAGATTGTTAAAGCATTTTTTTTCGGGTAGCAACCAGTTTAACAGAATCAATTGTCTCATTTTTAGTCCATATCAAAAAATAGGTTTTAATTAGCCCATCTGGCAAAAAGCTAACGTACCTGTCTACAATTTCAATTGTCAACGGTTCGAGTCCGACCAGGACCTGTTTTTTCTTGTAAGCGGAAAACTGTCCGAGCGTCAAAAATCTTTGTCGGACTTCTGTTTGACTGATTTTTTGTCGGCTTAGTTGCCGCACCATCAAATTGGCCTAGAATTTTGTCATTTTTAATCAGCCTAGAACTTCGTCAACTAAAAAACATTTCTGTGTATTCCAGTTTTGTTCAAGTCATTGAGTACCAAGAAATGTTGTTTACTTTTTTTTGCTTTTGTGATTTTCTTTTCACGCTAATCATTAAAAAATTTGGAAGTTGTTTTCCTCGTAAATTTAAGGAGTGTTTTGTGCAATTGGGTCAGTGGTAAGGCCTATTTTTAGGACGACAAATCCTGGAGATTCGATTCCAGTCCGGACGTGTCTTTTTTTGCCGAAACTGAAAAATTTCGTATCTGCTAGTCTTTCGTATCTGCAGTTTTTTGTCGGCTTAGATTCTGCAGAAATGTTCGGAAGCTTTCTAGCGGTGCAAGTAATTCTGTTATTGAAAATTTGTGTCCTGTTTTACAATTTTTGTATTTTTTTTGAAAAGTTTCGTACAAAAAATGTTTTGCAGAAATTTCATGAGGCGACTTTCTGTAGTTTCGAAACATTTAATTATGTTGAGCGAAAGTGTTGCAAAAATTTTCAATCTTTTGGTTTTGTTTTTCATTTTTGTAAGCTTGCTGCTGCTGTAATATACGGCCATTGATTGAACTTTAGATCCACTTACCAGACTAGGCACAAAAAAAGGTCGAGAATGATTATTGTTTTTTTTTTTCAAATTTCGTTTTAAATATTTGTGATTCGCCCAATTTTCAGCTCTCCCGCTATTATTTTTGTCATAGGCTATTTGTCATTGGCTTGTCATGTAGCTCTCTACGGCCTTACCCGCTCCGGATTTTGTTTGACAAGAATTGATTCGTTTTTCAGAAGTGTTCGATTATTATTAATTACAGATATAAAACTTATAGCATGAGCTGTAGTATTATTCCGACTTTCAAAGAAGTGCAGAATAGTTATACTTGGAATAGTTTCTTTTATTCAGTTAATTTTCAATTCTCTAACTCAGCGATTGTTTTATGCCATCTGAAAGGTAAAAATTTTCTGAGCTCAATTGAAAAATTTTACCTGTGATTTTTGTTGTAAAGTTATGGGGGTTGAAAAATTACCAGCTTTGTCAATTCGAGATAACTAAGTTGCGATATATTGCGTTCTTAAAACCTTCGTAAGCGGCGGATTGATGCGTTTTAAGTTGAAATCAGGCAAGTCTGAACAAGACGCTTAAAAAATGGTAGTTTACATACGCTTGTGGGGATAAATCAAATAAAAGGAGAAAAAAAAACGATTTTTTTTTTGATGATTTTGTCAGTTTTTTATTTGAGATTTTTTATGAAAAACATCCCCCACACGCTTTATAAAGTACAAAGTGACAGCTTTCACTCCTTGTAAGAAAATAAATATGGCAAATAAGCTTCTTTCAACCAATTTGGAACACTTTTTAAGACGGATTGAATCTCCGCTTACGCGTTAATAGCGCGAAATATATCGAACGTTAATTGCCTCCAATTGGCCAAAATGGCAATCTTTAAACCCCCATAACTTTACGAAAAATGATCACAGGTGAAAAATCTTTGGCTGACAGGTGGAATAACTCTCAAATTTAAGCTCAAGACATCAATACTTTTTGAATTATATAAAAAATTCCGTCAAAAATGGCTTGTTAAAAAATCAAAATTTGCCTGAAGAAAAAAAATCACGCGAGCACAAGTATTCCGTTATTTTCGTTAGGAAAAACGGAACATCAAGAATATTTATATCAAGGAAATGTGCCTGAAGTTTATATCAAAGAAATATATCAAATTTGTCCGAAGAAAAAAATTCTTTGGCACAAATGTTTACAAGCCGCCATCAAGAAACGTTTTATATTATCCTCGAGAGAATGAAGCATGGATTTGATAAATGATTTGGTTAAAGGTTTTTCGCTTCAAATCCTAGTTTCCTGGAATATTTGGGGTAGCTAATTTATCTGGAATTCCTAAGCAACCCAAGAAAATTCAAAATTAAGCAACCCTATTCATTCTAAGTCGCAACCTTATTGACAAATTTCTCACATATAAACTTTTTCACTTTCAATTTTGAAATTAAATTTCAAGTTTGATTTCCTTGAAAATGAGAACAATACCACAGGGTGGCAGGTACCTTCCATAATCAAGAGGGGATCTGTTTAGCAAACTAAGGCTGCTGTCTTTTGTCTATCAATATCACGTCAAATCAGCCCAAAAAAGGAACAGAAAAAAGATTATTGACCTCTTGTTTGCCTCGGAGAATCTCGAGAAACAATTCAAGCCTTGGGGCTGGAATTGATAAACGAAGCAACCAACTTTGGTTGGACGGGCATAGAAAGAAAAATGCAATGACCTTCAACACAGTTTCTTACAAAACTTATTTTATATGCCGACTGCATTTTTTCAGCATAGGTCGCCACTAATCACAGAACAATATCTTACTCAGAGGTTGAGCTTTGGATCATTAATATAATCCCAAAGGGTTTCGCATATCAATTACAATGAAAGTGAGAGAAATGAATGCTATCTAAGGCCCTTAAAAATTTAAGACCCTTCCTCAGATTTTCGGCTTTCATATTTCATCCATTAATACAAGCCCAAAGGGTTTCACATATCGAGCACAATGAAAGTGAGGACAATGAATGCTATGGCCCTCAAAAATTCTCAAAAATAAGATTTTCAGCTTCAATGGCTATGGACACCGCATTGCGAACAGGTTTCTCGTACGCATGTAGATTGATAACATTTGAAGTTTCTTTCAGCACAAGATAGAATACCATGAAAAGTTTAAAATTTTATGATTTTTAACAATTTTTATAGTTAAAAAACGGTTGTCAGAATTTCTAGGAAGCTTTGCAAATAGATATCCCAACAATTAGATCCACATGGGCTAGACTCTTAGGAGTAATGTGGGCTTCGAAACGTTTTTTCGTCTTGAAAGTCAATTTTTGCGAAAGCAAAGGCTTCATGCTACATGTTTTTTTTTTAAATTTTGTTAACATCTTTTAGCCGAAGTGTCTCAGAGCAGCATCACAGTCTTGACGAAGAATAGTCTGGTGATGTCGTCTAAGCGTGTGGTGTTAAAATCCAGATGTGCCCTGGATCTGCGCCAGTTTCCCCTAGACAGACAAACGTGTCCTCTCTGCTTTTCCAGCTGTGAGTTCTCCATATTATCTCTCTTTCAAACACAGAGTGATCGCAAAAAGCTACTGATAGAGGTGGTTCAGTTTTCATTCCATAATTCATCCTAGCGGTTGATGCCGATTTACAACTTCTCAAAAAAAAGTTATAGGTTTTTCAGCTTCCCTGCTTTTGATTAGAAATTTAATAGTTTTGTAATTAGTTTGAACACTGTTTGTAAGACGATCCCACAAGCCCGTCCTCCAGCCTCCAACCGTCTTAAACATCCGGGGGCTCTTTCTTTGTACACTAATTTGAACCTTGCTACGTCAACAGAGAATTGTATTGAACTAATCAAGTTTGTGAGCTTGATTGATAGTTTGTGATTATGGTATTAGACAGGAGTAAAAGGTCCTTGCTCTGTGATTTTTGTTTGTTTATTGCCGTATCGGTTCCCAATCTTCGAAGCTGAAATCAATTTTCATTGTTGATTTAGTTACACCATTTTCAGCTCTCTTCAATTTGATCTTAGTTGACCTCCTTTTTCAACCATGCAGAACGGCGCAAATTAAAAAGTTTGGCCTTATTGTACATTCACGAAAAAAATAATCTTTTTCTGAAAAGCAGATTTGGTTACATTTGGAATCCGCCTAATTTTCGATCATGGTTGCGACTTTTGACTTAAGTAACGCTATACAAATACTTTCGGTAGTTTTTTTAATGAGACCACTTTTGACAATCTAATAAACGTTTTCAAGGAAACATATTTATAACCCAATGAAGAATTTAAGTATTCGACGATCGAAGCATTTAACCGTTATCGACAAAAAAAATATTATTTCAAATTTGAAAACTATTTTCATTTTGTCTGTTTATAGAAAACTTCTGAGGGGTTGAAACGTGCAACTTAGCCTAGCTCAGGACGAAGTGAAGCGCGTGTTTAAGACTTATTTAAACCATTAACACAACAATAGTTAAATTTTCCCAACCAAAGTTTTAACGTGGTAAGATGGAACAGCTTTGAAATCAGCATTGCTTATCAAACTGTTTTTAACTTTCCAGTTTTCTTCATAACTTGTTTCTTCGAACACTTTTTTACATATAGACGGAATCAGCAACTGGAACCAGTTTAAAACTAGTTTTTATATCCAATTATATTATTGATAAAACTATCTCTGTAAAATAATTCTAACTAACCAATCATTATCCATAACTAACACATTTTTTTAAAATTGTATAGCTGAAACTGTTCATAGTTTCAGCAACAAAAGAAAATAAATATAACTTAGCAAACAGTAGTTTTTATTCAGAACAATTCCTGATATCTTATCTCTCAAATACCAGTATAGACTAGATCTATTGAGACTAGGAAACATAAGAGTAAGATTAAGACCGGTATTAGACTAAGAAGTTGCACGAATCTATCCGGCCGAAAATAAAATAGCGTGACGAGCAGACGGTATACCTTGCTTGAAATTACTCTATGAGTGAGCCTCCCTGGACATAATCTCACAACTGGCACAGAAAAGAAAAATAAGGAATGTAAAGTTGGTTAACCATAAATAAGAAAAATTGCCGTGTTTTCAAGCTCAATTGTTTTCAAGTTTTTGTTGAACTCAAAATAAACCTTAAATAAGGGAAACTGAAACCAGCTCCAAACTTCCTTCAGACATTGTTTCTTCAATTTATATTTTTTCAAATGCAAAGAAACAGTGACTGACACAGGAAAAAAACGGATCAAAACAAAGACAGCCGGTTACTGTGCAAGTTTTTTTCCATACAGTTTTTTTTTATGTATGTGTAGTTTTTTCTGTGCGGTGTAAAAAAAAATATTTACGAACAAATGATGCATACACATATTTGACATAATTGACAGTCGTAGCAAAAAGTCAATTGGAAAAACAGTTTTTGTCGAAAATTTACTAGAAAGACGAAAAAGCATGGTAAAAAAACTGGAATTTTTTCAAAATTTGTTTCCCAACTTTTGATTAAGTTGATTTTTAATAGCGTGCTAAAGTCCAGACAGTAACTTTACTTGAGGCTCAAGTCAAGCATAAGTAAGCCAATGTAAGCCTGCTCACTCGCTCGAAATTAACGAAAAATCAAAAACTTTAAAACAGTTTTTCTCAACATAAGATTTTTTATTGTGGTTCAGATCACGACAGAAAGGGCTTCAATATGACGTATCACCCAACACGGACCGACGATTGTTTTTGGTACTTGATTTTGAGTGGAAAACAGAATGAAAAAAAAACACCAGATTACAAAGTTCCTCCCCATTTTCAAAGGTCGAAAGAAAAAGTAAAAATTGAGTGTTTTGATGCTCATTCATTTTTGAGCTCAGTGTGAATTCAAAATTGAAAAAAAAAAATTTCAAATAAAAAATCAGCTCTTTTATCAAACTGTTTTAAACTTTGCAAGTTTTCTTCATACATTGCTTCTTCGAATAATTTTTTTTATAGAAGGAAAAAATGACTGACGCAGGGAAAAAATTGAAGAATGAGGGTTAATGCTTGATAATAAGATGTTGCAACGCAAATAAAAAACAATACTATAAATGCATATAAAATTGAACCAAAATGTAAATGCATATAGGAACAGTAGCCAAGCGTATACAGGGTGCGTCCCGGCGGGTTCGGCGCCGGTTCGAATCCCGACTAGGTCATTTCCTTTCTAGAACTCGAATATGCACCGAACTTGATGGGATGCTCCGTAACCAGGTTCGATCCACCCCAAAACCTATTTTAACCGTCTTTTTGCTCTAAATTGGTTCAGCCTTGATTAAGGCTGACCTTTAAAAAGAGCAATTTGTCTCAAGGACAAATACTGGCCATTTTTGCAGTTTGCTTTGAGTTATGCAGTTTATTGTGGCCGATCTTACCGATGATGAAATACGTTTTGAAAATTGTAAAATTATGGATTTCCAGTGTTAGTTTTGTCGAGAAAACGCTCTGTAATTCAACTGTTTAAATGTCAATATTTTTAGGATTCGGTTTGTGGAGATTTACGCGCACATTTTGGCGCCCCACAAGGGACCGTTAGTGCCCTGATTGTTTGACAATTTGACGACACGAGTGTCCAAATAGCCGAAAGTCACCACAGTGCTCAGTTGACCGACAGTCATCATAGTGATCACTTAAACCGAGTGTTTATTTGGCCGAGTGTTTATTTGGCCTATTTCTAGACACGACGAGTATTCAATTGGACGAACTGTGCGATTGGCCGAAATTTCCAGAGTGATCAGTTTGGCCGAGTGTTTATTTCGCCGAGTTCTTATTTGGCCTATTTCTAGACACGACGAGTATTCAATTGGACGAACTGTGCGATTGGCCGAAATTTCCAGAGTGATCAGTTTGGCCGAGTGTTTATTTCGCCGAGTTCTTATTTGGCCTATTTCTAGACACGACGAGTATTCATTTGGACGAACTGTGCGATTGGCCGAAATCGTCAGAGTAATAAGTTTGGCCGAAAATACAAAAATATCAGCTAACAGAGGGCCGAAAGTGGGCGTTTGGCCGAAAGTGGGCGTTTGGCCTAAAAAATCAGATACCAGTTGGCCGAAAGTGGGCGTTTGGCCGAAAATATCAGATAGCAGTTTGGCCGAAAGTGGGCGTTTGGCCTAAAATATCAGATACCAGTTGGCCAAAAGTGGGCGTTTGGCCGAAAATATCAGATAGCAGTTGGCCGAAAGTGGGCGTTTGGCCGAAAGTGCACGTTTGGCCGAAAGTTAGCAAAGCGTACCCAGTTGGCCGACAGAAGACATAGCAGACGGACGAAAAAGCAGACTGACTAGCGGAAGAGAGCCCTGTTCAGGTGTCCTGATTGTTGACTTTTGGTCAAAGTGGAGCTGTAATTTTCTCGACACCCGAAGTTTTTGGATTTTTCCCGGTGCCGAAAATCTCCAAAACCGTCAAAAACTGTAAGACTCGTCTAGTTTTCATAAACTTTCTTTGCAATAAAATTACATACGATGTCTTATTGTGTATCCCAACTCAAAGCAAGCTACGAGTGGTAGTTTTCCCGACACCACAAGTTTTTGGGTAATTGTGAACGGATTGAAAATCCAGAAAATCGGATCATAGACAAGGGGTACTAGACTAGTTTTTTGGATTGGTTTATGACTCGAACCAGCTGACCAAAAATTTCCGAAAAATTTTGGGAAAAAAGTAAAAAATTGCCAAAAATTCCTCAAAACGTCCCCATAATTCTGCAAAACTGTGCTGTAACATGAGACCAACCTTATGGTAAAAGGTCTGGTAGCGAAATATCAGGCAAATTAAGATGAGTTTTTTCATCCTCAGGTTTTTTCCTCGTGTAATGTTGGAACTTAACCAATTTGCCTGATCCCCCACCCACATTGGTGAAACTGAAAGCCAGTTCGCTTCAAGTAAATATGAGCCGTTTCAACCCGTCCGATAATTGACTTCGTTGCGTAGTTTTTTCTGTGCGGTGTAAAAAAAAATATTTACGAACAAATGATGTATACACATATTTGACATAATTGACAGTCGTAGCAAAAAGTCAATTGGAAAAACAGTTTTTGTCGAAAAATTACTAGAAAGACGAAAAAGCATGGTAAAAAAACTGGAATTTTTTCAAAATTTGTTTCCCAACTTTTGATTAAGTTGATTTTTAATAGCGTGCTAAAGTCCAGACAGTAACTTTACTTGAGGCTCAAGTCAAGCATAAGTAAGCCAATGTAAGCCTGCTCACTCGCTCGAAATTAACGAAAAATCAAAAACTTTAAAACAGTTTTTCTCAACATAAGATTTTTTATTGTGGTTCAGATCACGACAGAAAGGGCTTCAATATGACGTATCACCCAACACGGACCGACGATTGTTTTTGGTACTTGATTTTGAGTGGAAAACAGAATGAAAAAAAACACCAGAGTACAAAGTTCCTCCCCATTTTCAAAGGTCGAAAGAAAAAGTAAAAATTGAGTGTTTTGATGCTCATTCATTTTTGAGCTCAGTGTGAATTCAAAATTGAAAAAAAAAAATTCAAATAAAAAATCAGCTCTTTTATCAAACTGT